AATATCTTCAAAGGATTCCGAACCTTACGGCCGGTTCCCAATTTGAGAAAAGTACAAAATCTCAACTGATTATTCTAAATAACTTAAGTTTTTATAATTTTAATCAATTTTGCAATCACAATTAACATTGTGAAAAAATGTTATACTTAATGAAAAATGCTTAAAAAACTTAAGTTTTCTTACGTTTCAAGTGGCTAGCGGCCCGTTGTACAAACGTTCGTTAAGGTTTAATGACGCCTTTAAGCTCTAATGAATGCCAAGTTTGTATCGGTAATGTCTCTTTAAATTAATGACAATTTTAATGTACGTTTGAGCTTGAGCTGAAAAAGTCTAAGTTTTATTAAACTGCTATCAATTTATCATAGAAAAAACTTAAATCGAAACGAAAATTGCGGTTTTTTTATACATTTTATCGTATTTTATGTGCTCCTATTATGAAACGCACCAAAGAAATAAATATTAGACAATATGACACACACTGTTCAGATGTCAAATTAAGTGACTTAAAGCTCTTGTAATATGGATATCCGAAAGAACGAAGGTAATACAATACCCAGACGCAAGACAACAGAAAAGTTCATTCTCGACCAGAAATCTAACCCGGGTCCCTAGAAATGACACCTTGTAATCGTCATGCGAGCGAGATGCTTATAAAAATTAAGCTTAACAACTTATTTACAATGAATGAGATGAGCGCACAGAGTTCGACCGCACTTCGTTTGATATGTCGCATGCTGACCCTATCGACCAGTGTAAATGGGGCATAACCTCTGTGGTACTGCGTTTTGCTTCCTATGGGGTTTAAATTAATCGATCGATGAACGTAAACTATTCTTTTTTTAAGATAATTTTCATACTAAAAGCAAGCCCAAAAGACTATTTGTGGCCGCAAATGTTCATAAAGTTAAATTTTTTTATTACGTCTATAAAATTATTTTGATATTTTGTTTGGAGTATGAATACTAGCCATACAGCTAATTCACTTATGCCTTAATAAGTCACCCAAAGCAAAATTTATATCCGTTTATGTTAATCTTGTAATCAAATTGTCTATTAAGTTGCTACTAACGGCATCTATGGCGTACTGTATGGAACTATTATAAAAAATAAACCTTTTTTTAAACGTCGCTGTGCCTTATTTACAGTTTATTTGTGAAAACTTTATAAACTGTATAATACTTAAGTCCAACGTTTTAAGATACACAAACAGCCACTGCCTCCAGCTATTCATTCCACTCGCTTTTATATATATATTATGGCTAATTAACTAAAGCATTCTTATCTAAATATTTTCATAGAATTTCGCGCACACTAAGTGTTTTATACACAGAAAGCGTGCTATGATATAAAACAGGCCTGTCTTTAAATAACTTCTATTCTGGGCGTTGCCGGTTCGAGTCCCGACGCTAGCGCATTCCTGTTCACTGACTCGACTACAAATGGAATTGTTTTACGATTGCATCATGCCGGGCGGTTACTTGCCATGAACTTGAAAGTTAAGCGTGCCCCCTGCATGCAGTAAATCATTAATATCAAATACAAAGTAAAAATTGACAAGATCCCAAACGCAAATTGCTCCAATACTAAGATGAGAAGCTAAAGTCCTCGTATCATGGAGTATCTGAGACAGCAAAAGTAGCACCCCAACCAGACCCGAGATAATATCATCATCATCATCATCAGCCCTTTTACGTCTCCACTGCAGAGGCTCAGGCCTTCTTTGTGGGTGGTTAAGGAGGATGGGCCATGACCACATGACCCTCCACGCTGGCCCATTGCGGATTGGAGGGTAGAGATAATACAGAGAAGTCTAATTTCTACATTGACTCGACCGTAAATCGAAACCACTTTAATAAGAGACGGTAATATTTCGGCGCCCTCATGCTTTAGAAGGCAGTAGCTAAAGTTCTCGTATCATAGAGTATCTGAGACAGTAAAAGTAGCACACCAACCAGACCCGAGATAATGTAGAAAGTCCAATTTCTACAAATCGAAACCACTTTAGTAAGTGACGGTAATATTTGGAGCACCCTCATGTTTCATAAGGTATATTAACACCCAACAATTCACACTGGGCCCGCGTGGAGCACATCATCCATTCTCCACATTCGATTCATTTCCATCCATTGGGCAAGCCTATGTTAATGTCACCACATTGATAGACTGATGACTGATTGGTTACGGTTATGCCATAATGTCACAATATGAGCTAATTGTCCTCCTCTATATACGCACAGAATATATGTATATATAGAATTTAATAATTGCATAACCTCTACCATTTATTACTTTTAAGTAAAGAAAATATATTGTACTTACCCTCCCACGAACAAGGTTCTATGTGTAAATCATAGGTTATTACAGTAGAGCTAAATAAACATTGTCTTTAATTATTATGTTTTAAAGAAACCTCGGATTCAACGTCGAGCGCCGTTAGAGTGTAGAGGTTCAATCAAGTAAAACCTTCTTCAAAAGGTGATAAAGGTTATATTCTTTATGAAAAATACTTAAAGAATCCACCAACCCCAGGTACTCTGAGATTGGGCTCGAACACACATCCTTTCGCAATCCGGGCGACTGCTTTAACAGAACCTAACACAGAACCTAACAGGACTGACGAATTATTTATGCTCTTGTTACTTTTCGCTACTAGTGAGCGTATTTTCACCCATGTTCAGGCAATCCACCCAAACAGACCAAAGTATTAAGATGATTTGTTCCAACTATTTGGTAAATTTTTTCATTCACAATGCTGTACTGCAAAATATTCTCAAGAAAAATGCTTAAAAAAGTACCCATCTCACAGTGACAGACATTAACTACAACACCGAACTAATATTATTTCTGAGCGGCAAATATTGAACTCGTAAAAATAATGAAATTTGTATTCGACTATTATAGAAATCTCTAAATAAAACATTTTTGACGCTTTCTACCAGCGTCTCACTGCCAGAAGTCGTGACTTATTCACGTTTTCTCGAACACCAACCAAATGTGTAAGTTTTACCTATATCAGTATAGCTCTGAAGTTATAAACTTCTTCCCGCAACTTCACCCGCAAAAACTGTCATCAGTGTCATGTTCGGATTAGTTGGGATTAGTATTTCCGAAGATTACCGCCTTACAATGTAACAACCAGTGGTCGGAATTAGGTAGAGTTATTCATGTACTTACACTGATTTCATACAGCGAAAGAATAAAGTGGATATGCCTCAAATCCCGAGATTAATTTTAAAGAGCAGAAAAAATCCCGTGATTTTTTACGCACGACGTTGCCAAACTTACATCAATGAAAGAAAGAAATAAAGAAAGAAGAAATAAAGAAATCCCGGGAAGGTCCACATTAATATCAACATTTCGATGCAAGTCTACCTAATTCTCTACCTAATTAATAAATAACTCTACCTAATTCCGACCTCTGGTAACAACAAACAAACAAAGTTGCAATTCACTTCTTATTGACATTAGTATAGAAATAGTCACAAACAAATAATCTTACGTTTTATATACGTATAGAAAGCGATGTGCAGTAAACGTTATCTGATTGACCCATGAGTTGATTTCCTGTGATCATTTTAGCAATATTAATGGCCGGATATTGTTATTTATCAATGACCAGCAACTCGTCTCGTCTTCACACTCCGCACTAGTGCTATTCATATGAACTTAACCTCCCAATCAGTACGTCTACATATTCACATAAAACAATAATGAACTTTAAACGTTTATTATTTTTAGTTATTGTTTATTACTATTTCAACCTTTTTGTCGCAATAACAAGCAACCTATGTTCTTTCTCAAGTCAAGTCAACTATTTTCAGTGGGTTAGGCGTGAGAGCTTAACATACATATATACCTACTTTCGTTATATAATATTAGAATGGAATAACTTTTGACCACTTTCGGTACACGGTCACGGTCTTAGTACTCCTCTACATAATAAGAGGAATGTACCCTCCAAATTTCAAATCTCTACAACCAGCGGCTTAGACTATGCGTTGTCTGGACATCTCCTTATATACGACGGGATAATATATACATATATAATGGATAATATATACATATATAATGTATATATTATCCCGTCCAATGGTGAAAACTTGTAGGCTAGGACTTTTAGGTGTGTTTTTAAAGAGGATTCTTGAAAAATTATGTGTAGAAAATAAAAATAAATTCGATATTACATAAAATAATATAAACTAAATCGGGAAATACCTGGGTCGAATAGTGCCACCTAGAAATTTGACAATAATTTTCTAATACTACCTACAACTGTTCTAACCCGTGTCGTTTGATATAGAGTGTATTTATTTAACATGATAGGATCTGCTAAAAATAGATTTTGAGATATAAAAAAAAACATAATATATCCGATAGGGTAAGTAAATACACATACGTATATGGGATATGTATAATATTAACTGTATGAAAATATTTTTCTAATCATTAAGGATTAAACTGACATAAAGTACAATTATTTTAACAAATAAACCAAGAAAAATCTTATTACAATTGTGTTTTATGTATGTTAACATAATAATGTTATATGAAATGAAGCATCACTTTGAAAAATAATGGAAATACAGGACAGTATTTAGTAAATATTTTTATAACCTCAACACTGCTTCTAACTAAAATGGACGCTGAGTGATTGCGCAGAATGCGTGACAGGTACACCGTTTGGATACTCGCGACACTAGCGAAAATTTATGATCACTTTCATGTTATAACAAATTTTCCTGTTTCAAATAGTGGTATATGGCTATGTTTACCTGGTCATATTCGACCTACAATTTTTGTATATACCTTACAATAATTTTGACGAAAATTCAAATATTATTTTGAGTCTGAGACAAAAGCAACTAAAAAGGAAATAGTACTCGCGAAAGTTGCTAATGCTACTATAGAAAACATGTTTACTTGAGCCATAGAGATGTAGCGCCATGTTATTACTTAGCTTAAGCTTCGGTTTCTCATTCCAAAATGATATCTCCTTCCAGGATTCAACAGAAGACGATTATCCAATGGACTGGTACCACGATGAAGAGCCAGAGACGACAGTCCGACCAGCGGTGACGCCGTCTGCCTTCACCCGTCTAGGGTTCGACTATAGGGAAACTGTTGTGTCCGCCGTGGACCCCATAGCTGCGACTAACGAGCGACCGAGGATCATGGACGATTGTAAGTAATTCTAAAGACCAGATGACAACGATTATCAGACCTAAGATTAGTCTCAACTTCATGAGTATAGGTCTTGTCAATCAATGACACTGAAAGTCTCATATTTGAAATTTTTGTTTCTTCTATGATGTTGTTAAAGCGGGATTATAAAGTTCTAAACAAGTTAAATAAAAGTGTTAATAAATACTCAACACAGATACAAAATCTTAATCTGTCAAATTATCTTGAGGATATTACAGATTTTGGTGTAAAACACGACTTCAGTATATTACTCGCTGACTTCGAAGATATACAAAAAATTCTTTATGCTTTGAAGTTTCTCGGGATTAACTGATATGTCTCTATAGGTACTAAATAACCTTATACACGTTCCCCAAATATGATATCCTCAATTAGAAATCTACATATCTTGTATTGAAGAAATATAAAAAGTATTCTTTAAATATTTATATATTATACCATAGAGATATATATTACTCGTACCACAGATGACTGACAAAAAAAAAATAATGATCAATGATTAGTAAGTCATATTCATTCTTTGATTAACATCGCTATCGTCTTATTCAAGGTGTATACATTTATGTTAACCTTATATAACGTGTACATCCTCTTTAAATCATGCTATGGGCCAACGGTGGCTTTTTTCCCACAATTACCGTAAATGGATGCATTAAACGAGGATAGTAGGAGTTTTTAAAACTATTCCTTGAAATATTAACTACAAGACTTATTTAACACATATATTTATATAACAGAAAAACTTGTTGACATAGACAAATGGATAGCCCAGTTAAAATGACGTGACAGTGGGCGGAGGGCGGGTCGTTTGACGAGAAAAATGTGCTGACATACATACTCAACACTGATTGCACGAGCCAATGTCGTTAGGTATGCGTCGAAATTACATACACGGATCGATTACACATAAATTGAGAAGCTTTCAATTAATTTCACAAATTATTACCACCACTGGTTATTTATTTATTTATTTATTATCATAAGACACACTAACAGTACAAAAATCGAAACAATAATAACGTAATCACCAAGAATCACATCTGATATTTGCACCAATTATAAGCGTGTGCAGCATTGGCAAATTGTGTCACAATTGAATTAAATTTAATACAAATTTACAAATTATAAAATAAAATAATAATTCTAATTGTTTAAGAATGCTCAAATATTACAATTAATACATTGCAATGTTAAATTCTACTTAGTCATATAATACAAATAAAAATATAGATATGTTAATATTGCATGTCAGTTTGAAATAAAATTAGCTTAAAAATAAAAAAATATAAAAGTGATTAATTTAAGTAATAATAATAATAATCAAAATTGTCAATAGAAAAATACTCAAAATCTACCTCCCGAGGACAATGATTTAAACACTCTATCCCTGAAAGTTGACAACGAAACATGAAAGATATCGATATTGTCTTTGTTGTTCAATCTATTATATTCCTGGCACATTCTTACTAATGGCGAATTGAGACCGAGATTGGTTCTATCTAGTGGAGTGTGAAAGGTTTTTTTTAACGGTTGATTGACATATGATAGAATATCATAAAGAAACTAACCATAATATACTTACCGTGCGGGCCATGACTGTCCCCTTTATTTAGTAGGGAATTAAACAATTTTGTAAGCTAAATTCTGAAATTCGGGTCTAGATTGATATATGACTGCAGATACAATAAGGACTAATAGTTTAACATGCATTACTATTCATTCAATAACCGGCAGTTACAATGCTGCTCAATCTTGCAATTATCCAAAGCGTTTACCATACCCCATGGAACCATCTTGGGAAGATACTCTTCAAACAAGAAATTTTTGCAAGATTTTTTAAAAGCTATCAGTCGACTGAGGAGTCTGCGATTGCAGAAGTGAAGTAACATACTTTCGCACAGGCCTGTCATTACTTCATATTATTTCGGCCACAGATATAAGCTATGTAGAGTTCTGCTCGGCTTTAGTTTCGAGCGGAGCTTTTCTGGTCTTGCTACATCTGTAGTCGTTAGTACCCATTCGATCTGCACGTAATGAGTTATCGTCTTTTCTCCCTATATTTCGATTTATGGAGAAGAGTTATTCCGTAAAAAAGATCATGAAGCTGATTCAAACATGATAGTATAGATTAACCTTTAATATATTTTGTTTTATTCCAGCATTCCTAACGCCTTTGGAGAAGATAAGGCTAAAAAGAGCAGCGTTTGCAAATATAGCAGCTGTGCTTAAAACCGGCAAATGTTCTGAACCACAACCACGGTGGCTCACAGTCAGACAACTTGCACCTGCAGCTAATATTGTGTACGTACTCTACTGCTGTTAGTTTTCCTCTGTTTAGAAAGTCACTCTGGAAGAAAGAGAACTATATCAATGACAGTTAGTTCAACCAGAGCTCATTAAAAAGAGCTATCATAGTAGAATGATAAAATTTTAAGATATTCCTACAGTTTAATATTTGAAATGTTGCAGATACATGCCTCCGTGCGTACAGCTACACCGCTGCGCTCCAGACTCTGGTTGTTGTTATGATGAAGCTGAAGTGTGCGCGCCTGTGGCGGGAGAGTATATCGCTCTGCCATTCTATGTAAGACATTCGTAAGATTATATTTTGAATACCTAATCAATCAGATATTACTTAGGTTCCCAAAATGTACTATATCCATGTCCGACATCGTTTATATTCCCCAAAATTATGTAACTTACTCGTACATATACAACGTGTCCCAAAATTCAACGATAAGCGGGCGCCAAGAGGTAGACCTGCTCATGTGTACTTATGGAAAAATAAGAAAAAAATTATATCTTATTAATCTTTTTTATTATAAAATAAAATTCGAAAATTTTCGAAAGAGTTGTAGCGAATAGTAGCGCTACTTAGGTATCCGATAACAAAAAAAGATTGAACATAATTGAGAAGTTGTGGTCGTGGTAGTTGAAAATATCATAAAAGGTGTAAATTTTCGAAGATTTTCGAATTTAATTTTATAATAAAAAAGATAAGATATAATTTTTTTCTTATTTTTCCATAAGTACACATGAGCAAGGGTACCTCTTGGCGCCCGCTTATCGTTGAATTTTGGGACACGTTGTATATAATAAGTAACAGCTGTCCCCGCGACTTTGTCTGCATGGAAAGCAGGTAGCCCAAGTTACTCTTTATTACATAAGTTTTTATTTAATATGTAATCTGGTGTGTGAAAGTCCTGTCAACATCGGTCCAGCCGTTTCAGAGATTAGCCGACTAGCATATAACGAACAGACACACGCACAGAAAGCGTAAAAAAGATATTGATATATATGTCATGGACCAGGTAATTAATGCGAGCATTATTAATAATGTGCAAGCATTATGATTGCTTAAATTATAGTTTATTTCATGTTTTGTATTACTATTTCAAAACTTTTTTTACAACATGTTTTATAAACATACAAAAGATATTCGTATGTTACATGCAAAGATACGTTTTGAAATCTTTGTTTTTAATTTTATATATTTTGTTACCTTTATTTTTGAATATTAATTTCCTTAAATTTTAAATGCAAAACTAGTGCATTCTTAATGCAGAAGTCCTTGCCAATTAATCCAAGTAATAAGACTGGTTATTTAAATTTTATAACGGTTTTCTGTCTTTTCGCCGAAAATTGTTTATTCGACTATCACTTGCCAACAAACGTTTCATAGAATTTTATTTCAAAAGACAAACACATTAAAAATTACTTATAACATATGTTGGTATTACTCTGCTTAAAAGTAATGGACAATATGTAATTAAATAAATAAATAAAATATGTATTATGCCTGGTCAGTTTATTTTAATAATTATTATCAAATTGCTCTCATATTGGTTATTTTCCATAATGACCGAGCGTTATGTATGTATAATGCTCAATTTATCACTTGGTTCGTACCACATGTACCACATGCAGTTAGTATAAAAGGGTTATTTTAACATTACAAACAGACACTCCAGTTTTATTTATTTTTATAAATTAATACTGATATATGATCCTATTAATGTATTAATAGTACGTGTAGCTATATACTATTAATTTATTATATGTGGATTTGATATACATACAATTATAGGTAATTAATAAATCGGAATAAATTTACCAGTCTAGATCAAGGTCAGTTTGATGCTTCAGGATCCCTATACGCTGTTCTTCAATAAAACACCTTTAAAATTGTTTAAGATATTTGGATCCTTTAAGGACGTTTACGTCTACGAAGACTGAATTTATTTAGGAATATTAATCAGAAATTAAAATAATAAAATATATTGCAGTTACAAAAAGCTGACGGCAACCGCAGTATCGCTCGGATGCAGTTCTTCAATCATACACAATGCGCATGTGTCTCCCGTGAAACTCTGCAAACGACTGTCCGTACGAGAGTGGAGTCGCCAAAGGGAGAACCATCGAGAGTACAGGACAGTTTAAAATCGAGCAGCAAAGAACGCCAGAACGACTGGCGTCAGTCCACAGAAGAGCCAAGTCTGGAGAAGGAAGATGTACATACAGCACCGCCACAGTTGCGTAGGTAACGATGATAGGAATACGATCCGTACAAACTATTCCCGATTTTCAGAAACTATATCTGTCAAACGTTTCATTAGAAAATATTCTTTATTGGGAGAACGGGCGACACCAGAATTCATCTAATGACAAGTCTTTGTGAAAGATGCTTCATCTCAGTAACAGCTAAATTAGTATCAAAATTATGGTTACAGTAAATAATTACCGTATGGAGTTACTAAATATATTGCACTCGTGGCACAGTAGCACAGTTTTAGCTGCTTTTTTTTGACAACCGCCTCTTATCAAAGGTGCTATTTGTAGGTGCACCTGTCCAACATTATTCATCGCGCGGCCCTTCGAAAATGGCGTTTGTTCGTGTGTCTGCGAGTGGACGGATCCCGCCCGCAGAAGGGACTGTCAGTCGCTCGCGCGCGGACGGGAGCATTTCGGCATGAGAGGTAAGTATCTCAGACTATAATCACAAGCCTATCAACGTAGCCGCTACTTTCAAATATCTATAAATGATAATGGTGCTAACAGCGGTCTATGCAACAGAGAAAATTGATATCCCATCTGATAACCGGTATTTTCCGAAAGTTGTTTAGCTTTAGTAATCAAAGCTTGAAACACCAACTACAGTATCATCGAGCTATCTAATTTAAGATCATCATCACCAGTTTGTTTATGTCCTCACTGCTATGGCACAAGCTTTTCCTATGAATAGACTCAGACAGAAAGGAATTACCTAATTGATTGATAGGTGTTACAAATGCTGCCAGGACCAAGGCTAAACTTGCCTTCTAAAGGCTAATCTATCTACTGCTATGGCAAACACTCTAAGTCACAGCTGTAGATAGAAAGTTTAACTAAGTATGGATTTTAAATAAGCTTACGTTATGAATTGCCACAGCATATACCAATAAATATTCACAATAATGCACTTAACGTAACCTTTTATTAAACCTTTTCTTAGCATTTGACAACACTAGCGATTTAGTTAAAATTTTTAGGGAGTATAATCAGGATAAAATTACAATATAACATAAACCTCATCTTGTCGTGAACTACTTTACGGTATTAAAAATACTTAACGGTTTATAAGAGCACAGAGTCAGAGAAGAAGATTTAAATCTTTCAAATATGGAATTACAATCAGGGCTTGAAACCGGTTCAGAATAAACCGTTTTTATTTAGGTAAAACCTGTTCTCTTATAATGTTCCGTTCCGGATTGGAACTGAATGCGGAGTGAAATTCGGATGGAATAATAACCGGTTAATTTGCTTGGTTCGTAAAAAGCAATGTTCCTGGGTTTTTAATGCGAATTATATCATTTTTAAGCCACTACATTTATCATACCTGTGTACAGATGTTATAGATAGGAATAAAAGCACTTAAAAACCGCGCTGAAGTTTGTGAGATCATTGTTTGGAGTCATATTTAAACAGGTTAATGAAGAAAACCGTATTTCTAGTGAACCGGTTTAAAAACCTGTTCAGAGGAGCTGAACCTTTTATGAAAAGTTTCGCATGTACTTACGTCGAACCGGTTCAAAAAATTAACCGGTTTCCAAGCCCTGATTACAATAACAATAAGACGTATTGTTTCAGATCGAGTTTGCATCGGTGATGGGGATTGCAACCCGCCGACTTGCGAGTTCGGACTGTACGACCACTCTGCGGGCAGGTGTCCCCTTAGAAGGGATCGGAGGAAGCGCAACCATCACCGGACGAGACCCTAACCGCTATTCACGCGCACGTGTACATTAAGACTAACACTCACTGTGCAATTACACGAGGCACGGTCTTTTAGTGCTGTTTCAGAAGCGCTTTAGACTGTAGTGCATACGCTTGTGCATCGTATTCTCAGGACAGGGTACTTAAAGTCCCTGTACATGAACATTGTCTGGATGAATACGCCCAGGCGTGTATACACATGGCGAGGTTGTCCGTTTAAGCAGTAGTCGATAGATAACCTCGCCATGCGCTCAATTTGCATCTACAGAATCAACAGGTTCCAGCAACTTAGAGTCTTCGATGCGGCTTTAATGTCATAAATGAACGAGAGGCAATACATCATCCGTCTCTTGTAATTGAGCGCATATTCAGCACCACCATCCAATTTTATTAACGAACATTCAAATTGACTCACGTTTCCACATCCCAAAGCTACGTCGCGTTGTGTATACACGCCTTAACATTTGACTTCGCAGTCGAAATATTGTGGACGTCGACCGGCGGGTCTACCCCGTAACTGAGTCATATTATCGTTATCGTATAAAAAAGTTAGCCTGAAGTTTATACGTGGAAAAAATATATATACATATTTTACGCAACAGCTCCAACTTTGATTCAAACCGCCAAGAGTATTAAATTCTAATTCAATAGCATTATAGGATATTAAGTTCGCATGTTACTGGATAGACCCTCGGGCAGTCCTATTACGAGTTTAGAGAGTCGAAATACTCGATATCAATCGCTTTTATAATTAAATGATAAATCGTAAATCTTGGTAGTTACCACTAGGGGCGCAACATCCTTAATGAATTCGAGATGTAAATTTATGCTGTGTTTGTCGGACAAATTTCAATATAGGATCTTGATAAACTAAACTCAGCCTAACAACCAACGGATCAAAATAAACTCAGCCTAACAACCAAGAAGGAAGTAAGGCCCGAGAGTTTATTTTTAAAAAGTAAAATTATTTAGAATATTATTTTCTACACTAAATACTTATAGATCCTATAATTACTTACTCGCACTTTCAACTTTCAAGGCGCTTCTAACTCGCCTTTCGGACTGTATTAGTTGGTGCTCAGTAGCTCGGTGGCGTAGTGGATAAGCGCCACGGCCCGCGATCATAGTCGTTAAGCAACTCTCGCAAGGGTCGGTCACGGGATGGGTGACCAAAAAATTATTATCTCGAGCTACTCCGTGCTTCGGAAGGCACGTTAAGCCGTTGGTCCCGGCAGCATTTACAGTCGTTAATACCCTCCAATCCGCATTGGGCCAGCGTGGAGGGTCATGGCCCATCCTCTTAATCATCCATAAGGAAGGCCTGAGCCCCTGCAGTGGGGACGTAAAAGGGCTAGTGATGATAGTTGGTGCTCACGCCAAAATTGTATTTATTGTTTATAATTATTAGATTGGACACTTGTATTTCTTCAAATATTTTTTTTACGTTCACAGTTATTAATATATTTTAGATTTCGTGCCGATTGTCTGTTAGCTTGATTATTTTCACCTCAAAAATGTGTGTTTTCAACTAAAAATCTCCAAATTAGAGCATTTCAAGAATCTACCAATATAATTTAAGAATTCTTCTTTTTATAATAAATATGTTTACTTTTAACCAGTTTACTTAAATATGAACGCATTAAGTGTGCCATAAAATAAGTCAATACACTAATTATATGTTAATATAATTAATTATAAATTAAGAATGATGTACGTAGATTTAAGGGTAGGTAAATTTTATATTGTTATAATTTAATTTATTATTATAGGATAATGTACTTAGTAAGTCGATTGCCTGCTTGCATAATACTTCATTTTTGAGACAAAGAATGAGATTGTATACATATAAGTTAATTATAAGCTGTAAATAAATATCTTATGTAAGAAATATCTCAGTGTTTTTATTTCAATATTAATAAGAAAAAGGTAAAATGTATGGGAAGAGATACCAAAAGAGATGTCTACGTAACGAAAACGACTTAAGGTTGAAAAATTCAAAAGACTGTCCCTGTCTATCTCATTGGCCGCGGGAATTGGTAGGGCGCGTTTATAATTCTTACCGAGACAATATAAACGTGGGCATTCAGAGGAGGACGATAACATAAGCGAGTAAATTGCATGTAAAATAACGGCTTTAATATTCTTTGACAACAGCGCCGACTCATTGAAACTTGGCGCCCTAGAAAATAATACTGGACAACGTTCCTATAAAATCATAACAATATAAAGTGTGTAATCCAATGAGAAAAGAATCTATTTAGGTACTGCTTGTAATTTTGTTTTACTTTTTGTAATGATTACAACAAAACAGATTATCAATTTCCGGCCTCCTAAATGCCAGGGGACAGTTTAATATATTAGGGCACATCATTTTTTACACTTTTTTTTTGCTCATGTATCGAAATTTATGTACCTAGAAATTATTCTTTTTTATAGTTTTCATATTGTTTATGTCACTGATGGTCAATGATTATTATATATCCTCTGAGAGTGAGTAGCAACGCAAGAAGATAATTTTCAGTGGTCTTGATAATTATAAAATTTGTTGAATACTTAAGAAGCGTTTTACTTCCTACATCCAAACCATCCAAGTTGAAGTTGACATTGAATATTCTAGTGGATTGAACGATGTACGCAACCCCCAAACACATAAACTCTAACAAACAGCCTGCTCTCAATAATAAGGTTATAATAAGGCACTTTTAGTACGGAATCCTAAAGAGATGTAGCTGTGCGCTGGCTGAATACTGTCACTGTCATGGGAAAAAACTGAGATATGTCACTTAACAAAGTAGTACCTACGTAGACGTACTGTACCCTAGTGTGGTGAAAATGAACTTCAATAGGGACACTACGGAAAGCCTGTAACATAGATTCTGATAAACTGATAAAATAAACAATAAAACTTATATTCAATAAAAAGGGTATATTTGGAAGTTAATAAGGCTTATTAATTATAATGATTATGAGAACGTGAGGTGCGCTTGGTGACTGAATGCGAATTGATTTTGTGCAATCATGTAAATATAATTGAGGTAGACTTAAAACTGATGATTCTAGGGAACGTAGCTTGCTCGCACAGACACAGTTTAACGGATTACTTAGTTTAAGAGACACTAAGTCAGGAGATACTCTAAAGATTGTTAGTGCAAATAGGCACTAGAATACTAGGCTTAGTAAGAATATTGGCTTTCTAACTAATTTACCGAAAACGCTGCGTCTGCCAAAATTAAAAATAACTCTCAAATGTCAAATATCAACTATCGATTCAGATGCGTATTCTAGACGGACCGGCATTTAGTATAGAATAGATCTTTATTTGCGTCAAACATGGTATTTATGGTTTTCCAAAAATAGGCAGTTCAACATGTTTCGCTATTTTTATTAGCATGCAAATATATTAATTAATAACAATACAATAAAAATAAAATTATTACTAAAATATTATATTTTTTTTATATAAATGTCATAAGCCCATTATTATTAACATTATTACACGTCCAAGTACTTCTTAAAACTATAAGACGTCACGCTTTTGTATATTTTCTATAATAACGTGCCGTAGCGAGCCCCCACTCCTCAAATTTATTGCCAGTTATCTAAGCTACTTCTAGTTAAATTGAAGTAAAAAAATAAAATACGTATCTAATATTTTTTTATTGTCTGATGACGGACTAAATAAAAATTCTTTTGTTTTTACCCATACGCCATCCCTATTGGAACAGCATTTCAGTAAAAGTTCAAAAGCCTTTTTAAAACAAGAAGCATTCACATCTTGCCTTTTATTTTCTGTCCTTACAATATATTTCATTTTAATCTATTTTGATTAAATGAAAATTTATTTTCATTTACCTAATTATTATATCATTATTATTTTTTAATCCTACTAAGGTGTTTTTTTCTTAAATCCTATGAAGAAAACATATTCTTTATTATTTTTTAATAGTATATTTTGATATATTTTCTATATTCTTTTGTTATTAAAAATATAATTACATTTTCAGTAATTTAATAATGTGTTTTTTCTTTGTAAATACGTACGTAACCTACGTACTTGTCAAATTTTAATAATTAATAACTGTACCATAATGTGTGTAGTTACGCAGCCGATTGTAATTAATATCAATTATTCATCTGCACAACAAAATAATCTTGTTAGCTCAGGTGCCCAATCAGGAATTTCATTGTACGCAAATTCACAATGTTGCTATCAACAAATATTGTGCATTTTTGGCTATAATACAAAAATACTACATCTGTCTGTTTGTTCATTTGCAGAAACAGAAATATTTATTAAGTATACATTGAAAACTATTTCACTCCACTTAAAACGACTAGGTAACAGTTACATATAACGATAGAGGAACAAGGAAAACAATTGAAACAGAGGTTGAGAGCAAAACAATTATTTTTGTACCAGTCGCTTCCATTTCGATGAAATTGTACTAGAGACATCACATTTACATCAAGAGAATCACTATATTCATTAAATAATCTACCGATTCTAGATACACCTAAAACTGTTCTGCGAAACAGTTCGATTGACTTGCTAGGTATTGTAACTTGAACATCTCTAATTATAAAGGGCAACACAGTTCATGTCTTATGATTTTGTAAAAGAACATTTATCTCTATTATGAGCGAATGTCAAGTAGCTTGCCAATGTCGTCTGTGTGCGCTCAACACGTTAATATCTATGTAAAATCAAATCAAAATCATTTATTCAGTCTAGGCTGTTACAAAGTACTTAAAATGATTTTGATTGTTGAAAGTCAAAACTCTATACCACCGGTTTGTGGGTCTATGGCGGGTGACCTTTTACCGAGAAGAACCTGCAAGAAACTCGGCAAGAGCTGCTTTTTCTCCCTGTTTTATTTCATACAAAGTCATCAATATTGAAAAATAACTTTATTAAAATATGATGTCAATAAAAGTTTATATACTCTTCAATCGATTTATATCAAATAAATGTAACGTAAAATGATAATCTGCATAACAATAAGCACCCAACCACTGACAATGCACTTGTGAAAAATAAGCCATATTTAACACCAAGGAATTTTGTCGTTTTAATATTCATTATAATATCCATTACTAAGTCGAAAATTCAATGATAAATTTTAAATTTCTGTAGGAATTTTATTATAGTAGTGTATACCTTACCCCATAAATATTGCCATAACTTTCTTTAGCCTGTATGACTACAAAATCATTTATGTTTGTTTCTAGTATCAAAAATGTTTACATGACTATATTTAACGTAACTGTTAATATTGTTTCTAATATAAAGTATACAATTGTAAATAAATTGGAAGGCCACTGTCAATATTCCAATTTCTTTGAATTTATCTCTAAGTGATGCTTTGAACCTTATAGATAAACAGCTTTTACTGCTCTTTTCTGTGAAATAAATACAGAATCTATACGTGCAGCCATACTCCATAGCAGAATACCGTACGACATAACACTAAAGAAATAACTAATAATAACTTATTAATAATAAAGCGTTACACCCAAGAATGTTGTAACAACCAACTCGAACTTTTCATCATAAAGTTTGATTTCTGTTAGTTCTGCTTTTACATTTGGTAACATAAACTTTATACATTTGGTTTTTTCAGCATTTAGCTGGAGATTATTTACAGTAAACCAGGTCCGAATCTATGAAAGAGCGTTGTTTACATCGTCAAAGTTATTTTTACATTAATCAACATCAAATATTAAATAAATGTCATCTGCAAAGAATATTATAACGCAGAAATTTTCGACAAAGAATGGCAAATCATTTATGTATATTAGAAATAGAAAGGGACCTAGAATAGATGCCCGGGGTAACCCCCATTTTCACTCGTGAAACAGATGATCACGTACCGTTTATATCTATAGTTTAAGTTCTGAAACTTTTAAAACCTAAAACTAAACTAAAAACCCAAGTCTTTTCCTTCCCGCAGAGGGCGACTCCTCTACCCCCGAGGGGGACCCAGCGCGGTGGAAGAAACCGGGCCCTCCTTGCAGGATACTGGGTTCTTCCTATCTGTGTGAGGTGAACAGCAGCGGGTTTTACCAGGTAGGCCTTTCACACCAACCTGCCCTTTTTAGGGCGGGATGGAAGGAGAGTCCTGGTTTGAGGCTTAAAGTGCATTTCCCCTGCGTTAACAAAAAAAAAGGTACGACAGTATTAGTTGAAGGACTGTGCCTTCAATACCATAATTTAGCTTAATTATCAGTGTTCGATGCTCAACGCAATCAAACGCCTTGGATAAGTAACAAAATACTGTAAGAGCATTCTATGACCTTCCTAAGCCTTGAATATATGTTTAAGAAGTGCTACATCAGCATCAGTACTAGAGCGACCTTTTGTGAAACCATATTGTTTAGTGTGTAATAATTTATTTAAGTTAAAGTATGACAATGACTTTTCCAATATTTATTAATTCCAATATTTATAGATCTATAATTACTAGGGATTTGAAAAAAGGTATAACTTTAGTAAGCTTCATAAGATTTGGAAAATCTTTGGAGTCTATTGCAAAGTGTTCTGTTAAATGAAATATTTCTGGGGCCCTATGGCCAATTTCAAAGTCAGAGCAAACGCAGTAATTCCAAAGTCTATAGGATAAAAATGTGAAAAAAAGATTTTTATCACACGCTGAAATTAGTATCAAGAAACTTGTTCATCCTTGTTCATCTGGCTAAAGTGTCGATCAATAAATTGCAGGGAAAAGAAAGGATTAATTTTATCATCCATTTAATCTCTTAAGTACATTATTTAGGCATATCTGAAAAATTAATGAAAGCTTTCGAAATAAATATTAACATTTAAATCAAATGTGTAAAAAATATCCAATTAAAACGAGAGACGCAGGACGCACTTTTTAACGA